GGTGGGTCAGTGGGTGGGTGGGGGGGTGGCTGGATGGATGGATGGACGGACAGATGGACAGTCTCTAGGAGGGATGGGGTGCGCCTTCTGTAGCAGCTCCAAATGGCTACCACCTCATAAGGACACGGTGTGTGCAGGCAGTGGCCAGGAACTCAGTCAGCCCACCTCATTAAAGCCCTCCACAACCTTGAGAGGTGGGCGCTCACATTGCTTCATTCTGGACACAAGGAAACCAATGATCAGAGAGTGTGAAGAGCCCGCTGCATTCGCCCAGCCTCCTCACAGTGGTCCTCTCTGCCCTCTGCCCACGCTGTCCACCACGTGGCAATGGTGTGGCCATTCTTCACAGAGAGTTGACTGTCACTCTTTGTGGAAACCCAGTATGAGCAACAGAAAATCCAGTTCCTGCGTGCTCATAGCCCTGGAGAGGAATTTCTTCCCTTCCTTCCTGGAGTGTTGCCCTGGGACAGAGCCCCCTCTTTCCCACCCCCAGTGGGGCGTCTCATGCGTTTACAGTACAGTTAGATTGCTTTCTCACGCATCTGCACACCAGCCTGGGATCCCCAGCCTCCTAACTAACTCCTGTACTTTGCACAACCTGAGGCTCACTCTTGGAGCTGCAGCGTTCTATGAGTTTCAGCAAATACAGTGTCGTGTGCTCCATTACAGTATCAGATCCCCCTTCTCCACCTCTTCAACCCTCCCCACAAAACCCCTGCAACCAATGATCTTTTTCACCATCACCTTAGTTTTGGCTTGAATATGTTTTTATGATTAACCCTAAATCTCTAATTGCTAAAATAATTCTGGAATGTCATGCCATGGGCCATGCTGTGCTAGTCATGACTGCCTCTTTGTCATGCAGCCATTATAAATTATGGCTATGATTTTCTGTTGCTAGAAGGAAAACACGATTCACTGGTCTGGAAAACTTAGTTTTGTCTAACAGAGTTAATCTGAAATATGTTTTCAGTTTGACGGAAGTGTAATTGATATACAATAAACAGCATGTGCTTAAGTGTGGATCTGACCAGTTTTGACATAATACACACCTGAAACCATCGCCACCTAAATCGAAACGGTGAATGTATGTGCAGCTGGCCGTCCAGGAAATCTCACACCCCTTGCCTTCGGTCTGCTTCCTGGCCCTTTGGGTTAGTTTGTGTTTTCTGGAATCTTATGCAAACAGCCCCACACACTGGTACTGTTTGCTGGTTTGGTTTCTTTCACTCAGGATAGTTTTTCTCCCAAAAGAGAGACTTCTAGTTTGGAAAGATCATAGAAGCAATCACCCTCGGGAAGCACCACTCCCAAATCATGGAACTTGCTGATTTTCTGGGTATATCCGTATCTTTCGGCCATTATTCTGAGAGCCCTTCTGTACTTGTGTCTAAGCTTTGAACTAATTTCCCCCCTACCTCCATTCATTGGGTCAGCCCGTATTCCTCACGCACGTTGGTGGGGGAGAGAGAGCTCGCTGCGGGAGGATTGGCTTCTGGACGCGGGTGGTCAGCTTCTCAGGGGGTCATCAACGGCTTTTGTTTTCCTACCTTTTGGCCACGCCATGCAGCGTGCAGAATCTCAGTCCCTGGACCGGGGGCGGCACCCGCGCGCCCTGCAGCGGCAGCGTGGCATCCTGACCACTGGCCCGCCGGGGAAGGCCCCGCCACTGGTGGTTCTGAGTTTCTGGACCCTGGCCGCTGGCTCCTTCCTCTGCTGCCATGATTGCTGCTGGCTCCTCGCAGAATCAGCAGGATTATTTTGAGATCCATCCACAATGGCACTCGCATGCACCGTCCATTCCTTTTTATGACTGAGTGGCTTTCCTTTATGTGGAAATAAAAGTGTGTTCGGGGCATCTCAGGTCGCACAAGTGGCAAAGAATCCTCCTGCCAATGCAGGAGACGCAAGAGATTCGATTCCCAGGTCGGGAAGATCCCCTGGAGGAGGAAATGGCACCCCACTCCAGTGTTCTTGCCTGGAAAATCCCATGGGCAGAAGAGCCTGGCCAGCTCCTGCCCACAGGGTCGCAAAGAGTCGGACACGACTGACCGGCTGAGCACACAGCAGTGTTCATCTCTGCTGCTGCTGCTGGGCTTGGGCTGTTTCCAGTTCGACAGCGTCACAGACCATACCGCCAGGAGCTTGTGCCGGACCTGTGTACCTGGGAGCCGGGTGTCTGGGCCACACAGTAGGTGCACGTTCCAAAGTCTCAGAAACAGCGGGCTG